GAGTGTAATCAATGGTTAATAACTCTGCAGAGGAGTGAAATCAGAAACGCGGACGCTGTTCAAACTTTGTAGATCTCTCTCAACAATGAAAGAAAAAAGTTTCCACATTTCTGTCCAACTTAAAACTAAATTTTGAGAACAACTGTGATAAATTTTTAAAGAAATTGCGAACCTGATGACATATGCAGTAGGTTGGTTCATTTGGATCGACAGGCATGTCAACGGCGGTAATTGCAGAAGGCTTGAAGGTGTCCATAAAGGTCGCTACAACGAGCAGATAAAAACTGAACGTGAAGTATGATGTGTGTGCGCTCACCACTTTCCGGGCGATTTGCTTTGAGATCTCCTGGCTTCTTCTTTTTATCACCTTTCATGATAGACACAGACCCTTTTCGCTTCTGAGTGTCCGTGTTCGACGTACCTGAACTTAGGAACTAGAAGAATTTAGAAAGTAAAGTTGAAACATGAAAAATTCGGATATAAACATACCTGCTTTTGCTCCATGATCTTCGTTATACTTTTTAATTTGAAATTCTTGAAACTCCACAAGCTGCTGGTCCATCTCCTTGATATGGGTGTCAACTGTATCATACATTTTCTGAGCAAGCTTCACCTTCCTCTCGCTCAGTTTATCGGCTTCTTTGTACATAGCCTGAAGGTTTGTAAAATGATGAAGAATGTGAAGAAAACAACATTCTGCCCTAGCGAAAAACTCATACTATTTCACCTCCGTTAAACGTTACATTTTTGAAGTTCCTGACAAACGAAACATATGCACAAAACACTTCTGATTCAACTTTTTGTCATAGAAAAATTCAGAGCAGAATATTAGTTTATATAGTTAAAACACCTGCACTTCCTTGTACCACTTCACTCGTTGTTCTCTCGTTGTCTTCTTCAAGTTTTTCACATGTGCAACAGTACGAATTTGAATTTCGTGCATTATCTTCTCTACCTAAAAAACATGATTACTATACACAACATACCAAAAAGGAGGAAGAGTAGTCAGTAACTTCTCATCAAGTTCACGAATTTCTTCGGCATTCTTCCGAATAAACGGTGGAAGATCATCCAATTTTTCCATATATTTCTTCAGCTGTTCAGCCATAC